CAAAAAAAAAAAAAAAAATAGTGCACTACAACCTTGAACTTCTGGCCTCAAGCAGTCCTGCTGCCTCAGCCTCCCAAACTGCTAGGACTATAGGCATGAGTCACTGCGCCCAGGCAATACAGTTTAGTGTAGTTTTTGAGTCAGAGTCTCACTCTGTCACCTAGGTTGGAATGCAGCGGCATGATCACGGCTACCACAGCCTCCACCTGCTGGGTTCAGGAGGTCCTTCTGCCTCAGCCTTCCAAGTAGCTGGAACTATAGATGTGTGCCACCACACCCAGCTAATTTAAAAAATTTTATTGTAGAGACAAGGTCTCGCCACGTTGCCCAGCCTGGTCTCAAACCCCTGGGCTCAGGCAGTTGTTTTGCCCCCGCCTCCCAAAGTGCTAGGATTATAGGTGTGAGCCACTACACTAGCCCTATATATATTTTTAAATATGGTTTTTGGCTATTATGAATGGGATCTCAAGGTGGAAAAATGTGAACTTCTCTGCAAGTCACTCAGCAAACAAAAGGTGATGAAGTATCGTGCAAAAAAGCACTGAACTAGAAGTCAGGAACTTTCATCTCACTCCTAAGTGTGTACTTAGGCCAATCTCTGGGTCTTGGTTTCTACATTTGTAAAATGATCTCAGATAAGCTCCAGGTCCCCATAGTTCCAGTGTGCTCAAGCAGGTCAACCCTGGCCCTTACCTGAGTCCCTCTGACTGGTGGCAGTCCGGGGCCGCTCCAGCACAGCAGTGGCACATGTGATGATGGCTTGGATTCGAACGTCATTGTGCATGTCTGCCAAGCTCCGAAGCAGGCTCTCTACCGTCTCAGGGTGCCACTCTATGACTATGCCAAGTGAGAGAAGTGAAAAAAGAATGCCTGGTTAGGGGTGGCTGGGGGACTGCAGTAGGTGGCAGGAAGGCTGCCTTTTCACAGGACAGTGCAAGTACAACCTGAGCTCTGAAAGATAGAGTTCCAAGATGGGGTCTTTAGGATTTTGAGATGGGGTCTTTCTGTTATTTTTCTGGGAATCCACATACCCCCTCAGGTCATTCCCAGAAAAACTTCCCCCAGTGGCATTCTGTATTCTGTTTTTCTGCTTAAATAACTTTTCATTGTAACCATCTAGGAAATAAAAATCAATAAAACTAAATGGTTAAGGCACTTTGTTTTCAGACACCTGGTTTGGAATCACAGTTACTAGCTGTGTGAACTTGGATAAGTTATTTAAACTCTCTGTGCCTGAGATTTCTCATTGGTAGTATGGGTATACTAGAACCCACATATTGAGTTACTTGAGTTAAATGAGCTAACTGGACAAAGTATTTGGTAAAATGCCTGGCAAGATAATGAAGGTTCCATACATGTTAATTATTGTGGTTTTCTTTTTTTTCTTTTTGAGTTGGAGTCTTACTCTGTCACCCAGACTGGAGTGCAGAGGCACAGTCCCGGCCACCGCAGCCTCGACCTGCTGGGCTCTGGCGATCCTTCCACCTTTGCCTTCCAAGTAGCCGGAACTACAGGCGCGTGCTACCACGCCTGGCTAATTTTTTGATTTATTGTAGAGACGAGGTCTCGCCAAGTTGCCTGTGTAGGTCTTGAACCCACGGGCTTAGGCAATCCACTCGCCTCAGCCTCCCAAAGTGCTGGGATTATAGGCATGAGCCACTGAGCCCAGCCTGCAGTTGTTTTTGATCCCTCCATGACCAGTGTTTGAGCAGCATATTTTGTCTTTCCCTTCTTGCACCATTTATTGAGCATAAATTCAGAAATAATTAAGACAGGGTTCCTGCCTATGAAAAATTCTCAGTGTAGGTTGTTTCCACAAGTTGCTGAAGTGATACCTGCCCGTGCAAAAAGCACCACATGAATGTCCAGTAACATTTCTCTTGTACCCTCTGTGAAAGGCTCTTAGCTTAGCTTATCCAGCCTTAGTTGAGGCAGCTGGATTTTCACTTCTTACAGGGACTGAACACTAGTCTAACATGAGAACAATGGTGCCAGGACCTCCCTCACTCACTCAGGGCCCAGGCCGTCTTCCATTCCCGCAGCATCCTCCGCAGGACCACCAGTTCCCAAGGTACATCCTCCTCCAGTGGTTTCACCTGCCTCTTCGACCCCCGGGTCTTCATAGGCATGTCCTCCTTACCCACTGGCAGCAGCAGGTCCTTTGCCGGGGTGGGCAGGGCTGTCCAGCGCTGGGCTCCCTTCACGGGCCTGCAAGCTGTGCAACATGGCCATGTGAGGCCTGCTCACCCCCGCCCCACCACCCTGCTGTGTGGGGGTCCAGCTTACCTCCCATTCCTGTGCCTGACTGACACACCAAGGCAGAGCAGAGCTCTCCAGGGGGAACTTCCCATGACTGTAAGGACTGAGTGTAAGTCTCACAGGGAATTAGGGAAAGTCTTGACTGCAGACACTGTAAACCATGTTGGTGATGGGAGGCGGAGCTGAGACATATATAAACCTTTGTATACATTTAATAAATCTTTAGGATCACTAATATGTTTATATGTAACAAGATTTGCTCATAAACTTCAATATTTGATGTATTGCAATTTAGAGTGTGATTGGCCCTTGATTCCTGATGTATTGTTTTCTTTTTAATGTTTTTAACTTCAGAGAAGGAATGGTGCTACAAGCTGTAAAATTTTAAAGCTTTTAGCATCTCCGAATTTTTCCTAGTTATGATAACAGAAATTTGAGAACAGAAGAAATCATAAATATTGTATACTGTTATAGTTGTATATAGTTGTTATGTTTTCTGGACTTAATGTGCTTCATGGTGTTTCACAGATTCAGAAAGCCTCTTCCTCAGAAGAGAAGATGTGGAGAAGGGGAAGGGGAGACAGATAAAAACATTTTCAAACTTATTAAATCCATTATTTGCCTCATTGCCTGTCAGTGCCATGTTCTTATTAGTCACTGTCAGCCATTTCTATTTTTTCCAAGATGTCACTCCAACTCCAACACCTTTAGATTTACTCTGAATCAGTTATTTCCTCTGAGCAAGAAGGGCAATGCCATTTCCTTCCTCTCATGTAAAAATAGCCCTGTCAGACTGCAGGGCAGTTGGCAAAGGTCCCATGCCACACACCTCCTCTGAGTGGCCCTCGCCAGCCTGGACATGGGGGCAAGTGCTCTGCTGCTCTGTGGGCTCGGGTGCGTGCAGCCAAGGCTGGGGAGCTACCTCGGCAGATCGGCACGCACTCACTGCCTGGCCACCGCCCTTCTCTCACCCACTTGATGTCTCTCCTGACAAGGTGAGAAATAGCATGATCAACTCCATCTCTTCTATATCCCCTGCTCAAGGAGTTAAAGTGAATTTGTGGTGAGAAACTCTTAGATTTCTGATGTTCAACCCCTAAGGGGATAAATAAGTACAACTGCCAACATTTTTTGACTTCCAGTCTTTGCTAGTCAAATAGAAACACAACTAGCCAACTTCCACACCGAAAGTCATCTAAAGAGGCTGGATGCAGTGGCTCACACTTGTAATTCCAGCACTTTGGGAGGTTGAGGTATGAGGATTGCTTGATCCCAATAGTTCAAGACCAGCCTGGGAAACATAGCAAGACCTGTCTCTATAAAAAAAAATAATGTAAAAAACAAAATTCCAGCTACTGGGGAGGCTGAGGCAGGAGGATCACTGGAGAGGGAGGTCTAGGCTGCATGAGCTGTGATTGTACCACTGCATTTCTGCCTGAGCCACAGAGCAAAACCCTGTCTTTAAAAAAAAGCCATCTAAAGGGAGCAAACAAACTCATTTTCTGTGGGATAGAAAGGACTGTGCATTTTGTTGGCAGAAACAACGGTGCCCTTGTGTCTGAGACAGGTGCCATAAAACCTGTGCTTGGTGTATAGGAATGGTGATCTGGACACACTAAACAGTTTTATGTTGTGACTCTGGGGGGAATTACAGGCTATATAATAATAAGTACACTTCTTGAAATTTTTGTCATTTTAAGGAACTCATCATCCAAGTTTTTAAATTCAGTCAAAATGAAGAGAAAAAGCCTCAATACCACATCTACCTCAGGAATTTTCCTGTTTATCTCCAGGTTTTTTTGTACCTAACTGTTTCCTGCGATGAGATGGCACATAGAATGGCTCTAGGCAGGTGTGTACATATTACCATTCTGATATTACTTCCCCGAGATCAATCTCATACTGATTTATTTAAGAGTTTACTGTGAAAATTCCTGCAGCATCTACTTATTAAGTGACTTGTTCTGGAAAAAAGCGGGTAGATGTCCACACCACTGGGGAGACTGCCTGGGAGGCAAGTAAGGTTGGCAGTGCAAACTTCTGTGAATACACTGGGGTCTGTTGAGGATTTGTTTTACATAACAGCTGTATTGAAGTAGAAATCACATACTATATAATTCATCAAATTAAAGTGTACAATTAGATCGTTTTAGTATATTCACAGAGTTGTACAACTCTGTGACTATAGCGCATTTGACTTTAGAACATTATCTGACTTTAGAACATTTCCTCATACAAAAGAGAAACCTCATACCCATTCTTCCCTCTTTCCCCACAGCCCTAGGCAGCCATTAATTTACTCTCTGTCTCTAGATTTGCCTATTCTCAGAGGAGATGATGTGTAAAATGAGGTTGGCTTATGGGAGGGTAGGATATTAATAATAATGCCTTGCATTTGTACTGCCCTTGGTGTTTTACAAAACATATTCACAAAATCGCCTCATCTAAGAATTGCCAAAGTGGCTTGCTGTAGGAATGATTAGTGTCTCCATTTTAACGAAGCAGCTGAAGCCCCAGAGATGCCAAGACCAAGCATGGGCTGTGCTGGGGGACTTCCTCTTCTGCATTAGAATGGGGGTCCTCAGCAGAGGAGGAGGCTGTGAGGGTTGGGGGAGCTGTCACAGCTGCTGCCATATATGCCCCCACCCCCACTCTGCCTCCCCAGGCAGCACTAGGGACAGAGGCTTGGGGTTGGTGGGAAAAGGAATGAGTCAGACTGCTGCCACTGTCAGCACCTTAGGGGCCCACCTGACCAGGGATACTGCAGAGAAAAGAGTCTTGGGATGTGAAGCCTTTTGGAGGATGCCACAGTTTGTCTCCTAAGCCTGTCTCTGGCCACCTCCCTTCCCTCTCTGCCTCAGAATGAAAAATGATGCATTTGTGAAACAGACACTTACAACAAAGGATAACCCGAGGGCCTGAGTAGGCATGGGCCTGGGTGTAGGGTGGGGGGAAATGGGCAGGATGCTGCATCAGGCATTGGACATGTGTCCCCTGTGAGCATTGAGAGGAATCTGCTGTATTGATTGTGACTGTTCCTAAACCACTTGGTACACCTAAGATCTATGTGATTTCAATGGAATGTTTTTATTTACACCTAGTATTTTATTATTTTATGAGATATTTTTAGTTGGTAGGCAGGGGGTTATCCAGACACTGGTGGTGCCCCAGCCCAGGAACTCGGGACCTTAAAGAAATAGCCTCAGTCTCAGAAGGATCCCTGTTATTGGCTTCCTGCTTACGTGCTTCAGGAATTGTCTGGGAGCTCCACTTTTCTGGTGTCTCAGGGAAGACCTTAGATAGCTGCTTGTTGTATTGATTGAGGTTTTCCAGGAAAATCTGGTCTCTCTCTGCACCAATCTGGTGGATGATCTGGACTTCATCTGTGAACGGACAAAAAAACAGAGTCCGCCAGCACCATCCCTGTCCCCCTGGGCTTCCGGTGACCAGGGGCAGACCCTGTTTCCTTTTGACCTGATCTAGACCCCTGGGGCCCGTGATTGCCATACTGTGGGCATCCCTTAGAGGTGACTGCTGCTTAGAAACATCAAGTGTAGTCACCATAGTGGGGGGAAAAAGGATGTCATAGTGAGTGGCCTCCTGGAGAAGCCCGTGGAGGCCTGGGAGCCAAGGGTGGTGTTTGCCTCCAGTGAGGCAGAACCTGGCCAGCTTACGGCATGATGAAAAGCTAGGCACCTAACTAACCCCGTCAGTCATGAGTATCTTGGTCAGAAAGAATAATTGTGTTAAATGCTTTAAGAAGCTGGGCTCGGTGGCTCAGCCTTAATCCCGCGCCTTTGGGAGGTTGAGGTGAGTGGATTGACTGAGCCCGCAGGTTCGAGACCCACCTGGGCAGGCGAGACCTCATCTCTACAATAAAATCAAAAAATTAGCCGGGCGTGATAGTGCACGCCTGTAATTCCAGCTACTCGGAAGGCTGAGGCGGAAGGATCGCCGGAGCCCAGGAGGTCGAGGCTGCGGTGGCTGGGAGCGGCCACTGCACTCCAGTCTGGGCGACAGAGTGAGACTCCAACTCAAAAAAAAAAAAAATGCTTTAAGAAGTCTTTCAGCTGACAGAAGTTAAGGAACAAACTGGGGGTTGGGAAGATGAAACAGTTTGGAACATGCAGTCCTAGATCAGGTACCCTGGAAGACCAGGTGTCCTAAGGATGACAGAAGGAAGGGGAGGTAGTAAGCATTTAGGAAGTACCTTCTGTGTGGCAGGCATGGGGCAAGAAGCATCATAGGTGCTTTTTCTTTTCTGAGTTGGAGTCTCACTCTGTCGCCCAGGCTGGAGTGCAGTGTGGCAGGCTCACAGCCATTGCAGCCTTAACTTGCTGGGTTCACGTGATCCTTTCCCCTCAGCCTTCCAAGTAGCTGGAACTACAGGCACGTTCCACCATGCCTGGCTAATTTTTTAACTTATTGTGGAGATGAGGTTTCGCCAAGTTGCCCAGGCTGGTCTCGAACCTGTAGGCTCAGGCAGTTCTCTCACCTCAGCCTCCCAAAGTGCTGAGATTATAGGCATGAGTCACTGCGCCTGGCCATATAGGTGCTTTTTCATTTGCCCTACTTGAAGTGCATTTTTGTTAAACATTGTTTTACAAATAAGGTACTTAAGACCCAGAGGGATTATATAATTTGCTGAAGGTTACTAAGAAGGGACTGAGCTAGGGCTTAAACCCAAATATTCCTGACTCTTAAACCTGTGATTTTTTTTTTCCAACATAGTATTCTCAGTGTGGAAATATCTCAAAGTAAGAGAAGGGAGAAGGGTGGACAGAGAAGACTGTGTTCTCAAAGTCTTGCTGGTTTTACAGTCCCACTCTTCATTGCCTCCTTAGTGAGATGGGGAAATACAGAAGGGAAAGAGAGGGAACAATCCCTCCCACCAGTGATCACTGTCTTCTCCTGTTCCAGTAACCTGGGATACCATGAAAGCTTGGGTCATCTGGGCCTCTCCTGCATAACCTCGCCTGTCCTGCCCCCAGCGACCTTCAATCTCTAAACCCCTGTTTACCCCTGCCTTCCCCATAGGGGCCCAGTTCTGTTACCAAAGTAAATCTCCTGTTCAAAGGTGTTGTCTGTGGCATAGGCAAACTTTCCAGCTCGGCGATTCACCTGCCGTGTGTAGCTCTGGTTCTGGGGCTGGCTGACGCGCCTCTTTTCTTTGTTTTCCTTGGTGGTCTTATTGTTGCAAGACACAGTTTCCATTGTCTGTGCTTGTGGGAAATAACCAGGCAATCTTGGCAGGGTAGAGAAGGGGAAAGGGTAGGAGATGGCCCCCTTGCCATGAGGTTGACAGCTCACTCCCTTCCCCTTTGAGCTCAGGTCCTGCACACAGAGCATCTGAAGAATGCCCATGTGTAACTGTTAGCCTTGCCCCCAAAAGCCTGACTGTGAGGAGTTCTCAGGGCAGGCTGGTGGTAGAGAACATGAGGCTGTTGGGAGAAGCATTCTGTTGGTGTGGACTGCCAGAAGGGCCATCTATAGCCACTCCCCATTGAGGGGTCCAGACCTTCTGCAGCCACTGGGCAGCAGGGTAGAATGGCCATGCTCCCTGCACAACCCTTTTGCAATACATGTACCCTCAGAGGTTACATGGATTTGGGGAGGGAGCCCGCCTCCTGCATTCCCTCATTCTGTAGTGTGTGGCTATTCAGTGTCTGTCCACCCAGAGGCCAGGCTGTGCCCTCCTTCAAGGAGCATGTCTGACGCTTTTACATTTTTACATACTAGCTCTTTGCAGAGTACCCTCAAAGCAGTAAGAGCATAATTTATATTTGTTTAATAAATGAATAAATAAATGGGTTTCTGCTTCTTTCTCTAGTGGGAATCAGGGAGCCCAATGGCTGCAGACTTCCCTCTAGTTTAAATGAGAAGGAAGCAGTCTGGGAAATATGTTGTCATCCTCTTCGCTTAAGTGACTTGGCTCTCTGTCCTGCAGCTAGCTGGTTTTGGGGTCAGTGATAAGCCAGTTCCTTATTCAGAGCAAGGCAGGACGAAACCTCAGGGCTATGAGTCTCTGCCTCCCTCACTCTACCATGGGGGCCTTTCTGGGTGTGCCTTTCTGGGAGACTGGGTCAGCAGTCTGATAGCTGAGTCTGCTCAGCATGGCTGAGAACTGACCCCTTTCGGAATTTGGTGATGTCTGAGGCATCTTTGGTTGCCATAACTAGGGTGTTGTGATCTTGTGGGTAGAAGCCAGGGATGCTGCATGCCTGGGGCAGCCCGAATAACAAAAAGTTATGCAACCCACCATGTCAGTCATGCAGACTGGGAAACGAGCTTTGAGGAGCTCTCAGAGCAGGCTGGCAGTGGGAACATGAGCCTGGTGGGAGAGGCATTTTGAAATCAGGAGTGTTCACCCCCTGGGAGTCCTTGAAGAGAGTAGGGATGGCAGGGGCCCCCTGGGACTCTGGCCAGCCTACCTGTAGTACACAGGCAGCAGCAGCTCTGGCTTCTTTTGTTCCTGAGGGGGCAGAAAGACACTGTGGTTCTCAAACTCTGCTGTTTCCTCTGCCTCCAACTGTCTGAGGAGCTCCAGGTCACTGGCAGAGGTGAGCTCATCCCTGATGTAGCTCCAGTCGTACTGCTGGTGCAGGAAGCTCTGCCACTTGCTGGGGGAGGCCCCAGGTCTTTGCGGATGCTTGTTCTGGATCCATCTGGCCGTGCGCTTGTTCAGTTTTTCTAGCACAATGGCCTCCCATGCTTTGGCTTCCTTCTCAGGAGGCGGAAGCCAGGCTTCCCTTTCCTCCAGGTTCATATCTGGAGAGAATGGTGGGTCCGGTGTATCTGGGGCCCTGCAGGGACGGCAGATGAGGGGACACGGGGCCTCCTTAATAGTGTTTGCTGGCTTTGATGTTGTCAGCTTCTTTTCAGGATTGGCAGAGCTGTCTGTCTTCACAGGTGGGGAAGTGTCCCATGCTGAGGGGCCCAAGGAACCCAGGAACTTGGCACTGATGGGCTTCTCAGGTCGGGTTTTCCTGATCCGAGGCAGCTGGGTGATGCTATCTGTGCTGTAGAGGTGGTCAAAATTGTGCTGGCTGTAGGGAATGCTGGCTAGCCCTCGCTGCTGCGCCACCTCTGGGGAGAAGGTGAGGTCTGCTGCGGCCTTCTTCAAGTACTGGCTCTGGAGGTGGATGCAGCGCTGTGGGCTGAAGGGGAAGACCGGGGGCACGCTGCAGACAGAGGCACACTCTTCCCTGGCATTTGGTTTTGAGTAACCAAAAATCATGCCCCATCCCAGCCGTGGGGGAAGCGACTGATAGAAGCGATGGGAAGGAAAGGTCTTTCCTTTTTGGGTCCTAGTCATAGTGTTTCCCAGCCGATGCTTCTTTCTACACGGCCTGGTCCAGAAGCGAGATCTGGAGATATGGCCAGGTGCCTGTTGAGGGAATGAGAGGAGCTGATGAGAGCTCCAGGTTCCAGGAATGAGTGTCCCACAGCAGTTCAGAAAGATGCAACCTGGCCGGGTGTGGTGGCTCATGTTTGTAAATCCAGCACTTTGGGAGACCGAGGTAAGAGGATTGCCTGAGCCCACAGGTTTGAGTCCAGCCTAGGCAACTTGATGAGACCTCATCTCTACAATAAAAATAAAAAAATTAGCCGGGTGTGGTGGCACATGCCTGCAGTTCCAGCTACTTGGAAAGCTGAGGTGGAGGAATCACCTGAGCCCAGGAGGTCGAGGCTGCGGTGGCTGTGAGCATGCCACTGCACTCCAGCCTGGGTGACAGAGTGAGACTCAACTAAAAAAAAAAAAGGCTGGGCACGGTGGCTGGCTAAGCCTGTAATCCCAGCTCTTTGGGAAGCCAAATCAAGAGGATTGCCTGAGCCCATGGGTTCGAGATCAGCCTGGGCAACATAAATCACAAAAAAGCTAGCTGGGTGTGGTAGTGTACATCTGTAGTTCCAGCTACTTGGAAGGCTGAGGCAGAAGAATCACCTAAGACCAATAGGTGCAGGCTGTGGTGGCTGTGACCGTGCCACTGTACTCCAGCCTGGGCGACAAAAGTGAGACCTCAACTCAAAAAAAAAAAAAAGTTTTATTGTTGTTGCTTTTTCCTTTTGAAGCACTCTCTTGGCCTAATAACAATAGTTGACCTTTTTTTTTTTTTTTTTTTTTTTTTGAGTTAGAGTCTCACTCTGTCACCCAGGCTGGAGTACAGTGGCAGGCTCACAGCCACCACAGCTGGACCTAGAGGATCCTTTCTCCTCTGCCTTCCAAGTAGCTGGAACTACAGGCATGTGCCACCACGCCAGGCTAATTTTTTGATTTATTGTAAAGATGAGTTCTCACTAAGTTGCCCAGGCTGGTCTTGAATTTGTGGGCTCAGGCAATCCTCTCACCTCTACCTCCCAAAGTGCTGGGATTATAGGCGTGAGCCACCATGCCCAGCCTAGTTGACTATCTTTGAGTGCTTTGCTACAGGCTTACATAGGGAAGAAATTATCATCTCCACTTCTTATTGGAAGAAGCTCAGGCTCAGAGAGGTAGATCACATAGCCTATAAATGGAGAAGTCAGGCTTCAAACTCAGTCTGCTAGATTGCAGCTCTGGAACACGTAACCTGTGTTGTGCTGGCCTTGGCTCCTGCTCTGCTCACCACCACTCAGGTGTGGGCTGTGCCACTCCCAGGGGCAGGGGGTTCTCCTCATGCATGAGACCATTATTCTGTCTCCTTCTGTCTCATTGGTGCTAACTCCTGCCCTGTGCCCAAAGGTGCCCCCATAGACCAGATCTGACTCGTTTCTTCTCCCATAACACCCAGCACATTCCCTTTCTGTAAGCCCTGATTTATCCTACTGTCTTCTAGGAATGAAACCTGACCTCGTGGTGTTTCTTTCTGCTAAAGGTCAGCTTTCATCTAGGTCACTAGGCCAGAATTGATAACCTCCCTCAAATTACACAAATGATTAATATGCTATCCCTCCAGGACTTTTTGCACATAAGACTAAATTTATTTTTATTTAATTTTATTTTTAACATTTTTTTTTTTTTTTTTTGTAGAGACAGAGTCTTGCTGTGTTGCCCAGGCTGGCCTTGAACTTCTGGCCTAAACTGATCTCCCGCCTTAGCCTCCCAAAGCAGTGGGATTACAGGCATGAGCCACTTTGCCATAAGACTAAATTTAGCCATTTCATCTCTTCACAACCATGGAGACAATGTTACCCCAAGGGCACTCAGTATTTAAATAGTTGGACTAGAAAAATTAGGGCAAAGGTAGAAAGTAGTCACAAGTTGCTATTTTTCCTGAAACAGTGGCTTTTTTCACTGGTTGAAAATGAACAGTCCAGATGAAAGCAGCTTTAATGTTCTTCTGCCTTGTATTTTGCTCTAATGAAACATATTCCTAACACATCAGTGTTCCTACCACTTCAGTGTATCAACCTCTTGCTCCTAAGGTCAGGGGCACTTTGATCCTAAACCCTTGAAAAACAGGATGAGGACTGATTTCACCCCAAGTTAATTGCCTGTAAGGAGTGATTTAGGGTATCCCAGATATATAACCTTTGACCTGTGCCATAAAGAATCTTTGGTTACAGTGCCAATGCTCCAGGAAGAATATTATATTATTATGATCAGTTTTTTTTTTTTTGTTTTTTGAGTCGGAGTCTCACTTTGTGCCCAGGCTGGAGTGCAGTGGCATGTTCTTGGCCACCCCAGCATCAGCCTGCTGGGCTCAGGTGATCCTTCTGCCTCAGACTTCCAAGTAGCTGGAACTACAGGCACATACTACCACGCCTGGCTAATTTTTCAATTTATTATAGATGTGAGGTCTCGCCAACTTGCCTAGGCTGTTCTCAAACCTGTGGACTCAGGCAACCCTCTCACCTTGGCCTCCCAAAATGCTGTGATTACAGACTTGAGCTACCATGCTCAGCCTCGTGATTGGTTATTATAAATTCTCATGGAATTGTCATTATTGTCTGATATGATGGTTTACGGAGAAGATAGAAAACACACAACAGGCCCATTTTGAGAAGGTGTGCAGATAGGACAAGGTCTAGTCCAAAGAGGCTTGTTCTGGTTTATCCTTGTCTTGGAGTCAGAAGACACATATGAGACCAGATTCTGTACATCCCGGCCATTTTACCTTGGGCAGATGATTTAATATCCTTGGTTTGCCAATGTGAAAATAAGAGTTTGATATCTGTTCTAATTTGGTGTGACTTGAAGTTCGGAATTGGAAATGTATGAAATTTATTTTCCTTTTTTTTTTTTTGAGTTGGAGTCTCACTCTGTCCCCCAGACTGGAGTACAGTGGCCGCTCCTGACCACCACAGCCTCAACTTGCTGGGCTCCGGCGATCCTTCCGCCTCAGCCTTCCAAGTAGCCGGAACTACAGGCATGCACTACCAAGCCCAGCTAATTTTTAAAAAAAATTTATTGTAGAGATGAGGTCTCGCCAAGTTGCCCAGGCGGGTCTCGAACCCGCGGGCTCAGGCAATCCACTCACCTCACCCTCCCAAAGGTGCGGGATTACAGGCTGAGCCACCGAGCCTGGCTGAAATTTATTTTCTAGCTGCAAAGTATTATGTAAATGTGAGGAATTAATATTACTGACTGAGAGGATGGACCTTATCCTTAGAAGGCAGGCCTCTAGGATCTACAGTTAGATCACTGGGAGTTTAGGGAAAAACTTAGGGGTATTCGTGCACTAAGAGAGGGCACTTAGAGAAGGAAGAAAGGACTTACATGTGGAATTCAGAGACTCATGTTATCCAAACTGTTACCTAACTAGCATGGCAAGGCAGAGCCCTCACTCCCAGAAAACAGTCCTTCAGAATCAAGAGCAGAGTGGCAGGTCCCAGGCCCTTTTGTACACTGACAGCATAAAGATTAAATATGTCAATCTTGGCATAACAGCAGACAAGGCCCTGTAATCCAGCAAGCAGCAACCACCAGTATTATCTCTACTCTTTGAGAAACTTGGGTTGAGGGATGGGAGCGGGGTTGAAGGGTTAGGCCACATGCCTCGAGTTGAAACCCGGTGACCTTTCTAGATTCCCAACTGTAAAACATGAACGTCTTCTCCTGCCTTTGATATTTTATGAATATAAGAACCCAGATCAAAATGGGGAGTCTCAGAGATTCCTATTTAGTTCCACTCTTCTGTTCACCTTCCCTCACCTGATCTGGTACCTTTATTTTGCACAAGCAGATGAAGTCAGTTAAGTGTGCTTAAAGGAATAATATCTTGCTTTTTACCTTCTGTTATTGAAACAGGAAACTGCTTTGGAAGAAAAGGTCAAACAATAATAAGCTGTAGCATCAGTATCTTCTGAAAGCGTTTTAAAAGATAACACACTCTCATCTTCATCCACAGATTCTGATTCTTACATTCTAAGGCAGGTCCAAGAGTGTGAGGTCAGCTTCTGGGTTAGTGCTTGCTCAATATGGTTTGAGGACCTTCTGCTTCAAGGTCACTTGAGGAGCTTCTTAAAATGTAGACTCCAGATGCCAGGCTCGGTGGCTCAGCCCGTAATCCTGCGCCTTGGGAGGCTGAGGTGAGCGGAATGCCTGAGCCTGCGGGTTTGAGACCCGCCTGGGCAATTTGGCGAGACCTCATCTCTACAATAAATAAAAAATTAGTCGGGTGTGGTAGTGCACGCCTGTAGTTCCAGCTACTTGGAAGGCTGAGGCAGAAGGAGTGCCGGAGCCCAGCAGGTTGAGGCTGCGGTGGCCGGGAGCGGCCACTGTACTCCAGTCTGGGGGACAGAGTGAGATTCCAACTCAAAAAAATAAAAAATAAAAATGCAGAATCCACCCAGAATGTCAATTCAGTAGGCTGCAAATGAGGCCTAGAAATCTTCATTTTAACAAGCTCTCAGGGGTTTTTATACGCATTAAATTTAGAGAAACCATAGCCCCATAGGCTACCAGTGGAGTGTATGAAGGAAGCTTGGTTAGTAAGGAGAGTGGGATTAGCAAACATAGCCTCCTAACCTGGCTTGTTTTAGTCCCCTTCTGCCTCTTTCTCTTTAAAAACTTCCCCTCATTTTCGCCCTTCTACTTTCTAATTTCCACTTCTTGCCATGCACTCACATAGCTACACAGCTGTCTCCAGAAATTACTCTGGAGACATCCATAAAGATAACCTGTTATAACCTCTTCATTTATAGATTCTAAAACCAGGGCCAAAACTGAGATCCCAGTACTGCTTAGTACTGAAACTAAAACTGATCTTGACACCCGATCCAGAGTCTTTTCAAGATGTCAGGCTACCTCTCATCCTTAGGCTGATGCTAATGAACTCCTTTAAGTCACTGGCAAAACAGCAGAGCTTTGAAGTTACCTTCAAGAGGCCTCGCAGCACAGTCCTCAAAGGGAAGCAAGTCTCTGCATCCTAAATCGTCCTTGGTTTCTCAGCTTTCAGAGCTGTTTCTGTGGGTCACCAAGCAACCAGCTCTGCAGGATTCCACGAGTCTGTTCATAGAACCTGTGAGTTCGGTTAGGATGTCTCCAGCTATTTATTAAATGTCCTTTTTAAACTGAGCTCTGAGGAATTACATCACATTTATTGATTGATGGTTTCATAGATTTCTTGGTCATTATTTGAAAAAATAAACCTCTAGATCTATGCAGCTCAATATTTTTCCCCTCGGGGGTTTATAAATCCTGCTGAGGAAAAGCAAAGCTGGGAGCCCAGGAACACTGGCTTCTAGAGGCATGCTTCAGATTCCCAGGCTGACCAAACAAACACAAAGCAGGAGCTGTCTTGGGCCTTTCCCACTCCCCTTCATCTCCTCTGCGGCTTCGTCTCCCTTGTCCACACAGTTCAGTTGCATTTTCCTTGATCCCCATGCAGATCCTGCCTACATTATCATCCATTAACACTGTTTTTACAGTGGGACTCTTCAAGTCCTGTGTTTCTTTCTTTCTTTGTTTTTTGAGTCAGAGTCTCACTCTGTCACCTAGGCTGGGAGTGCAGTGGCATGCTCACAGGTACTGTAGCCTCGGCATGCTGGGCTCAGGTGGTCCTTCTGCCTCAGCCTTCCAAGTAGCTGGAACTACAGACATGCACCATCATACCCGGCTAATATTTCTTGATTTATTGTAGAGATGAGGTCTTGCCAAGTTGTCCAGGCTGGTCTCAAACCTGTGGGTTCAGGCAATCATCTCACCTGGGCTTCCCCAAGTGCTGGGATTATAGGCGTGAGCCACCGCACCCAGCTAAGTCCTGTGTTCCTAATATTATAACTTCAGACCTGCAGAAATACTAGTCATCAGGAATCTCCTTGTGAAACAAACTAATTTATCCTGACAGAAGGAAAGATTTTTGGTTCTGAGGCTGTGTCTGGGGTTGACCAGGTCGTGCTATTCAGATGGCTGCCATCCTTGTTTCAGGCAAGGCTGGTGGTGCTGACTACCTGAGCACTGACTTGAGTGTCTGGGCTCAAGCTGTGCTCACACCCTTGGACACCCACAAACATGTAAAAGAGTACATTCTCTTGTATGAAAAGACTGAAAGACTGAAAAATTAAATATTAAAACCCTGCTAAGGTGGGAAACTCTCTTGAGCCCAGGAGGTCAATATTGCTGTGAGCTGTGATAACGCCTCTGCACTCTAGTCTGGGCGACAGAGCAAGACCTTGGTCTCCGTAAAAATAAAATAAAAACCCCGTTGAAAGTTCCTCAGAAGCCGGGCTCGGTGGCTCAGCCTGTAATCCCGCACCTTTGGGAGGCTGAGGTGGGTGGATTGCCTGAGCCCGCGGGTTCGAGACCCGCCTGGGCAGCGAGACCTCATCTCTATAATAAATAAAAAAATCAGCCGGGTGTGGTAGCGCGCGCATGTAATTCCGGCTACTTGGAAGGCTGAGGCGGAAGGATCGCCGGAGCCCAGCAGGTTGAGACTGCGGTGGCCAGGAACGGCCACTGCACTCCAGTCTGGGTGACAGAGTGAGACTCAAACTCAAAAAACAAAAAACAAAAAAAAAAAAGAAAGTTCCTCAGAAAATTAAACATAGAGTTACGATGTGATCCAACAATTCTACTTCTGGGTATATCCCCAAAATAATTGAAAACAGGGATTTGAACAGATAGTTTACACCCATGTTCATAGCAGCATATTCATAATAGCCAAAAGGTGGAAATAATCTAAATGTCCATTGATGGATGAACAGATAAACAAAATGTGGTATATACATACAACAGAATGTTATTCAGCATTAAAAAGGAGTGAAATTCTGATGTATGCTTCAAGTACATGGATGGCCCTTGAAGACGTTATGTTAAGTGAAATAAGCCAGACACAAAAGAATACAATATGATTCCACTTCTATAAGATACCTAGAATAGTCAAAATCATTGAGATAGAAAGTGGAATAACGGTTGCTAGGGGATAGGAGGAGGGGCGAATGTGGAGTTAATGTTTATTGGGTAAAAATTTCAGTTTAGGATGATGAAAAAGTTTGGAGATAGATGGTGGTGGTGGTTGTACAACAGTCTGAGTGTACTTAATGCCACTGAATTGTACACTTAAAATGGTACTATGTAAAAAAAACAGAAAATAAATTGTTAAAATGGTTAATTCTATGATTGTATATTTCACTGCAATTTAAATAAAAGGCAAAATTCTTACTTAAAGCTATTTAGATTTTCTTATAGAAATTCTGGACAAAGAAGAAAATTAAAACTACCTGTCATAACTCAAGGTCTAATTAACAATAGTTTAAGGTAGTTTTTTTTTTTTAATTCTCTTTTTCTTTTCTTTTCTTTCTTTCTTTCCTTTTTTTTGAGTTGGAGTCTCACTCTGTCGCCCAGACTGGAGTGCAGTGGCCGTTCCCGGTCACCGCAGCCTCGACCTGCTGGGCTCTGGCGATCCTTCCGCCTCAGCCTTCCAAGTAGCTGGAACTACAGGCGCGTGCTACCACGCCCGGCTAAGTTTTTTTATTTATTGTAAAGATGATGTCTCGCCAAGTTGCCCAGGCGGGTCTCGAACCCGCGGGCTCAGGCAATCCACTCACCTCAGCCTCCCAAAGGCGCGGGATTACAGGCTGAGCCACCGAGCCCAGCTTCTTTCCTTTTTTTTTTTTTTTTACAAGACAGGGTCTTGCTTTGTTATGTTACCCAGCCTGGCCTCAAACTCCTGGCTGCTAGTGCGCCTCCTGAGCAGCTGGGATTATAGGGGCCAGCCACCATGTCTGACTTCCACTTCCTAGCTATGTGATCTTCAGCAAAGCAGTTAACCTTTCTGGGCCTTAATTTACTCCTAGGGTTCTTATAAGGATTAACAATCAGCTATTATTGTTTACCTTCTTTAGTTCCTGAGACTCCTATGCACAAAGTATGCTCGAAGTATGTCATGGGACACGTACAAAAGTAATTGGAGTTACAGAGAATTGGATGATTCACTGGGACATGAAAGCATTTGGAACTGAGTAAAAGGCTTGTCTTGAGGGTTGCCTTATTGGGAACAGAGGCAAACACAGGTTCTGTGAACTTGACACCTGCATATTTGCAGATTTTTCTAATAACAAATATATTAAATTATGAACGTAAAATCAGGTACAAGGCCTTGGAAGGGGCTGAAAGTTTAATGAAAAACTCACTTCTGTTTGGAACCAACGTGGGAAAAAGCTGAGTGTGATGGCTTGTACCTGCAGAATAGAGGGAGGTTGAGGCAGGAGGAGAGCTTGAGGCCAGAACTTCCAGACTGTAGTGTATAATGATGTGCCTGTTTCTAGCCACTGCAACAGCGAGACCCTGTATCTTAAAAAAAACAACAACGGAAAAAGGTGAGAAGTACAGGATGAGGGGGAGATAACGTTTGTCTAAATGGAGCCAAATGAGAGCCTACTATAACAAAATAACCTTTACCTTATGTGGCTGTTTTTACACCTGTCATAAACGAAGCTCATCAGCTCACACAGCTAATAGATGGGACTGGTGCAGAGGGCAGGCGTGTGCAGGTAGGCAGGACAGCTAGCATAGCTTAGGTGAGTATCTTACAGGCAGGTATAGCTTAGACAATCGGAACCCTAACCCTAACCCCTTAAACCATACCTGCACTGATGGAAACCCAGGCCGACCTTGGAATATAGGGCAGCTGGCTGCAAAGACTGCAGACAAGATGGTAAGGAGTTACCAGAGACTCGGAGGCATGGTGTTTTCATTAAACTAACTTTTCGTATTATCTCAAAAGTTCCTCATCACACAAGCAAGCTTAGGAGTAAAACGGTAAGAATTGAAACCTGTCATCAGTAGCTTGTACCCATGTTACACACAAAGTTTAGCTTAGCAATAGGTTGCTTAATCATTGTTTTGGCTCGATATATATATATAACAGCTACGAAGCATACGCAGATATGCTAACAGCAAGTGGGTGCCTTTCCCTTAAGGCACCCGGGGTCTCCCTTGAACCTGAAGGGCTTTTTTTCTAATGATCTGTACTTTAAATCTCTGCGACTCGCTCTGAAATTGCTTTCTGCGCAAGACAAGGACCTATGGAGCAACCACACTCCACGCTTCTTGGCATCCCAGGGAACACAAGCAAAACCCTAGGGGGCGGGGTTACTACCGTGTGAATTCCTCACACAGTGACGGGACTCAACTGCAGGCCGCGCCTGCCTCCTCTCGGAGTTGCGAGCAGGAGACCGCGGCGGCGGGTTCCGCCAGCGCAGCCGACCCCGCCCACTCCGCGGGAAGCGGCTCCCGGCCCCAAGTGGGTCTCCACGCCCGCGGTTTGAGGCTCCGGCCTTTCTGGCTCGACCCGCGGGAGCCCGAGGTCCCTCTCCACGCCCGCCCGCCGGACCTGACTCGGGATGGCGGCTTCGGGGCTCGCGGTCCTGCGAGAGTCCGGGCTGGGCCGGCAGGGCCTCAGGGGCTGGGCGCAGGCCCGGGGGCCGCGGTGGAGGCCGGACGCCCGGATCTCCCGGGTCCCCACCCGGATGGCGGCGACGCTGCGCGTGGAGCCCGCGGGCCGCTGCTGCTGGGACACGCCGGTGCGCATCTCCGTGCGCGG